TCATCACCTTCTTCGTTGGAGACGTCTTCGTCTTCTGTCTGTCTGTCCGTCTGTCCGCCTGTCTGTCCGTCCATCCGTCCGCCCGTCTGTTGTGTCTTCACTTTCATTCGCTACGTGCTCGCTGCTGAGTTCAGCATTTTGATTTTAAATTTATTTTGATTTTCGCTTTTGTTTATTTTCATTTTCATTTTGCATTTGCATTTTTAAATAATAATTATTATTTTGTTGTTGTTGTTGTTGTTGTGTTGGAATATTGTTACAGTTTCGTTTTTCATGTCGCTGACAATGTTTTATGTGCGCGTTAATTACTTTTATGGCTCATTTGTTTGCCTTCTTTGTTGTTGTTGTTGTTGTTGTTGTTGTGGGGGAGTGTGCGAACAATTGTTGGGCCTACGGCTGATTAAGTAATGGATATTGATGTAGTACCCTCAATTCGATTCTGGGTAGGCATCTGACGTGACAAATTCCCCATTGACGGCGTCTTCGATTACGAAAATAAAACATTCGATAGCTTCGACCAGGGACCGCAAATAATGATTATTTTGTTTTTTTTTAACGAAAAAATCATTCACTTATAGTAACTTTTGGAAAGCGAGGAATTTACTGACATCCTTTTTAAGGAATATCTATGTATTTTCACCATGATTTTTAAATTTTAATTTGTATTCATTCGCTCACAATTTAATGATTAATTTTGAGTTTTACTTTAAAAATTAACCAATAATCATTATTGATGAGCAAAAAAAGAAAACTTATAAAATAATGATTATTCTTTGAGTTTTATTTTTTTGATCAAAAATAAAACTCAAGCTGAAATTTTGTCTGTTTCATAAGGATTAAGGACAAAATTTATATATAATTAATTTTATTATTTATTTTATTATTTATTTATTTTGTAATTTTTTTAATAACACTTATAATGATTACAGTCCCTGGCTTCGACTTTAAATTCGAGCCACATTTCTGCTATTTTCCCCAACATTTATTCTTCAATATTGCGTAGAGAAAAGTTTAAGTAACTTTTCTTTTTATGAATAAACTCGTAACTCGCAGCTCGCAGCTGAGTGAATGATTGCTTGCTAACTTGTTTGGATGTTCTATCATGAAATTGTACGCGCGATGAAAGCAATGAAGACGATAACTTGCCAACAATCAATCAATCAATCAATCAATGAAGGAGAGTGTAAGACTTGCCAGTGTCTGGGTCAGTGAGTGAACCACGAAACTCAAATCTTAGGCTGTTAAGGATACAGGTTGAGGAGCAGAGAAGAAGATGATCCCAGAAGAGTTTTTTCATTTCTAGCTGAGTTATTAGGATCTGGAATGAGGCTTATGCATTGTCGTCTTTTTTATGTAAATCAACGAACATTTTAAAAGAAAACCCGACTTGAAAAAATACTATTTAAAAAAAAAAATATGCAGAGAAGAGTAAAAAATAATTGCATATTCTTCTATTATAATGTAGGTACTATTATTGATATTTTTGAAGTCGTTGTCAACCGAAATACAGACGAATTGAGAAACTCCTCCTTTTTTGAAGTCATTTAATAATAATTAATAATTAATTGAGAATCGAAATAATGATGAAAGAATTGGGCTGTTAACATATGTATTGTCTTCTAAGATTCTGAAAGAAACAAAAACAAACAAAATTAAACACAGTAATGAAAAAATATTAACATTTTATTTGGTTTCCACACAATTGTGCACCGTAGTTGAGGTGGCTTGCTAATGGCACTAAATCTAAATATTCCAGCCAGCTTAACAGACTTACTGGATGCGATTACGATCTATAAGAATTCCTGAAAAGCACCAGAAATTCTGTCTGTTTACTTAAGGGTAAAAGGCAAAAAAAAACATCATCTCTGCTCTTTGATTTCTTATAATGAAAGTTTAATAAAAAGTAATGTAAGAAGATAAATTGTTTTTCACTAAAAGTCGTTAAATAAAGAAGAAGATAGTTAGATAGCTCAAAATATTATTTTCTGAAATAATATTCCAAAAATGAAATATCCAAGGGCTTTGAGGCAGCGCACATTTTTTAGCGACAGAGTGGAAAGGGTCCTTCGAATATGAATATTTTTCTCCCTTGTTCATTTATTTTTTGCATCTCCATTTATTTTCTTCAGGGACTAACAATAATTTTTCAGTTCTCATTCTATACATTCTACAATAAATTATTGTGTAAATTAATTCAGCTTTTCATTGCAGCGTTCAATAGATCGCAGGGTAGATATTTCCAAAAGCGTTGCATCATCTTTTATTTTATTATTTATTTAGTAAATCAACAAATAGTGCTGTCGATACAAATTCAAAAACTATGATTTATATTGAAGTATAGTATTATAAAATAAAGATATTTAATAATACAACGTTATAATTTCAACTTAAAAGATAAAAAATCCTCATTTATCTTCCCCATTTAAGCCTTTTATTGTTTTGACTTTTCAAAATACATACTCTATAGCTAAATCGAATTTTCTCTTACTTAGTTCTCAGTGAAACTTGATTTTTGCTTAATTATTTGTTTAATACCAAAAGAAATGCATTTTTGGTTTAGCTTTAAGCCTTGCACAATGCTAGTTGAAATGCTATTTTTCCAGAATTTATTATTTATTTTTATGTAAATGACAATTGTTCAGCAAATATATTAAATTTTTCATTTCCCTTCTTTTTCCTTAATGCGAAATGTAATTAATTTAATTGCTTCTGCCGCTGTTCTGCTTCTTCAAATACAGCCACAAAATCGTGTTCTGTCTTCTATCCTGGTCCTCAAACAATAAATATTTTCTTACAGCCTGACATGTCGGCCAGATGTCGTGACATAGTATGAAGATATATGTGCATATATATAGCATGTCTACATGTGTAATTTTGCAATGAGAAAATCGTTTTATAATTCCCAAACCAACACACACACACCCCCTCACAGAGGGAGAGACACACATTTGGGAATCAAATGCGGCACACGAGCGTGGAAAGCGAAGGTTGTTTACAAAGCAAATATTGTTTTTAAATCCCATATTAAATAAACATTTTGCTCGTTTGGGGCCAGGAGGCAGGCAACAACAAAAGGCCAAGCAATGTGTCAACGTGTGGGTATTTGGATTTTTCCAGACAGCACCGACGTCCTGCTGCAAGCTGCAAGGAATATTTGTACGTGTGTGTATGTGTGTGTGTTTATTCCTTCATGGCAGACGCGTCGCCGCCATTTTTGTTATCACGCAACAGTTTAACACTCAATGCGGAATAGCGTTGACAAAGCGTATCAGTGTCAAAGCGGTGGCGTAGGGTATTCAGAAGACTTGTCCTCGCTCCAATTCATCAACTCAACGCCAAGGATAATGCTTGCACTGCACAATGGGTTGGATATTCAAAATATTGGATAATATTTGACATCAAATTTAGCGCAATAATCGAATGTATAAATGGATATATTTCTTCCATTCATCTGTTTTCTATTTTTTGTTGTATTCGTTCGAACAAATGAAATGTTGTTCGTAGAACTTAATGCCATCTGAAACATCTGGTTAGAATCATTTAGCTTGCAATTATGTGCAAACATTTGTACGTATGTATGTAAGAGGCAGCAAAGTAAAAGTAGACATATTTATGTTAAAGCCCATTCACCATTTAGATTTGTATCGTTACTGTTTTCAAACTATGTTATCCTGGTATTGATGTTTTTAACTGCTTTTGAGTAGATCTCTTTTGGTTGTTGAATATCTTGCTAAATAAATGATCATCCTTTATCAACTGACACTTTGAAATCGTCGTTATCTTCCGTAATGTTATCCCTGTTCCGATTTCTAATGTCATCTCATCTCATGCTGATGTTAAGATTATTACTTACCTTCAACATCAACCATTTAATTTATTCAATTTATTTATTAAAATCAGATTATTATTATTATTTGTTATATTATTCCATGCTTTTATAAGAAAAGATAGCGGCAGTTCATCCCACACTCATTTAATTTCATTCCACTTCCTAACTTCAATCGGTTTGAAATTTTGTAGAAAAGTTAGCTGAAAATTTAAATTCCTCGAGCGGCATGCTGTTTACCGAGCGATGAACTTTTACTATAGTTATCTCTTTTGAGATTTTACTGTATATAAGTATGTTATTCAAAAAAATTATATAATGCAAGCAGAATTGTCTAGACATTAGTAAAATGTATTTCTTTGTTCTTAACATATCCCTTTATTTTTAGAAAAATTAATTTCCTTCTAGAACTTCACTTTACCATAAAAATAAGACAACAACTTCCAATTGAGAGGCAGTTTTTGGAATTTCCTTTTCTCCACCTCTGTTTGCAATCCGTCCCACTGTGCCGAGCATTTAACTGATTTGCATAAAGCTGTTTACGCTGAGCTTAGAGACATGTGAAAAATATGAGTTGGCATTCAAACATTTGTGTGTGTGTGTTTTTTTTTTTTTTTGGGTCAGCTTTAAAGCGAATGTCAACGCCTCACTGCAGGGTTAAGGATGTTGCCAAGCCACAGTGTCGTGCTCGAGCAATTTAAGGCTCACACACACACACAAACAGACATGCTGACAGCGTCCAAAAAACCAGTTGCCAGCACATCCGACGCGTCGGTTCTCTGCGGGTTAGAAGCGGTTAAAGCCGCCTTCAGAACACAAAATCGGAGCCGCCAGCCAATAGGCAGGTGTAATTCAATAAGAGACGTCTCCGTCTCCGTGTTAAGCATAACTTTTGTTTTTCAAAATAAAGAAACGCACTAATTGTAGCTAAGAAGAAGCTGTTGGTAGCTGGCGCGTTCAAAAACGCGCGCAAAACGCGCCAAGCAAAAACGCCGGTGTTGTTTGTGAAACTTTTTATTTCATTTCATTGTGTTTTTTGTTGTTTTTGGTTTGTTTTATTTAAATACTTATTAAAATTGTTGTTTTTGTTTTTGTTGCTGCGTGCTAGCATCTGCGTGTTGTTGTTCTTGTTTGTATTTTTTTTTTTGCGATTTTTCGTTTTGCTAAGTGAAGTTTTGCCATTTTTTTGTGTGATTTTTTTCCATGGTTGTTGTTCATTACGTTGTTGTTGTTGTTGTTGTTGTCATGTAAAAAGTGCCTGGCCCGGCAGCTAACTTGATGCATATATGTGTGTATATATGTATGTATGTATGTACGAGTATGTGCATTGTTTATGTCAATAAATTTGCAGTTAGGAATGAAAAAATGCCATCAAATTACAAATTACAGTTACAAATTACAAAGAGCTTTGTATGTGTGTGTGAGAGAGAGAGAGAGATAGAGAGCGTGGGAGAGTAGCTGTGTATGTGTGTGTGTGAGTCTGTGTGTGTGTGTTGTTATTGTGAATGGGCCATCTATTTACAATAGTATTTGTCCTCATAGCGTTGACAATAATCGCAGATCAGCTGACAGCAGCGTCCGTTATTGAAGCGGCAGCGGCATTTCTCCACCTGCTTGAAGACGCGAGTGGTGTAGCCACGCCCACAGCAGAGATTCGCGCAATTGTCCGGATGCAGACACTGGCGATCCTTGGTGACCGAACAGTAGGTGGGCGAGGTCTCCAAATAGTAGAGAGTCGTGTACTGCGACTGCTGTTGCTATTAGTGGGAGAGAAGAACGGAGAGAGAGTGAGATAAGAGAGGGAGTGAGATAAGAGAGGATGTGAGATAAGAGAGGGAGTTAGATCACAGAGGGAAAGTGAGATAAGAGAGAGATAAGAGAGAGAGAGAGTAAGATAAGAGGGAGATAGAGTGAGATAAGAGAGGGAGTGAGATAAGAGAGGGAGTAAGTTAAGAGAGGGAGTGAGATAAGAGAGGGAGAGTGAGATAAGAGTGAGATAAGAGAGGGAGTGAGAGAAGAGCGCGAGTGAGATAAGAGGCGGAGTGAAATAAGAGAGGGAGATGAGAGAGAGTAAGATAAGAGGGAGAGAGAGTGAAATAAGAGAGGGAGTGAGATAAGAGAGAGAGTGAGATAAGAGGCGGAGTGAGATAAGGTAGGGAGATGAGAGAGAGAGAGAGAGAGGGAGTGAGATAAGATAGAAAGTGAGATAAGAGAGGGAGTGAGATAAGAGAGGAAGTGATATAAGAGAGGGAGTGAGATGAGAGAGGGAGTGAAATTAAAGAGAGGGAGTGAGTTAAGAAAGGGAGATGAGAGAGAGAGGGAGTGAGAGAAGAGAAGGAGTGACATAAGTGAGGTAGTGAGATAAGAGAGAGAGAGAGTGAGATAAGAGAGATATAGTTAGATAAGAGAGAGAGTGAGATAAGAGAGGGAGTAAGATAAGAGAGGGAGTGAGATAAGAGAGGGAGTGACATAAGAGAGAGAGAGAGAGAGAGAGAGAGTAGGCTAAGAGAGAGAGAGTAGGCTAAGAGAGAGAGAGAGAGCTTTTGCTTTGAGCGCGCAGCTTACTCACTTTCTTGCGTCGCTGCTTCGGCTTTTTCATGCGACTTGAGGGCGCCTGCCTCATGGTTCGCTGATTGGGCGCCTTGCGTATGGCCTGATTGTATTTCTGACGCAACAGTGTGGCCGTGGCATTGAAATCGGCCAACTTCTTCCAGCAGGTCTTCAGAGAGCACGAACCAGAGACGCCATGGCATTTGCATTTATCCTTCATTAGCGTGGAAACGGCCTCGATGCCAACCTGCAAGCAAAAGGAGGAAGAGTTAATAGCAAACATATTTCCAAATTCATTTTAATTAGTTCTCAATCCCACCTCGGAGTCATGTTGCAATATCTCAGTCATTTCATCATTTTCGCCGCCACGCAATTCGAGAAAACTGCGCGTCACACGCTTGCCATGCTTCAGATTGTCGTTGCAGCCGCCCCACTGGAAGTCCTGATCGACACGATTCTGTTTGCGGGTGCCACACACACACTTGGTCATGCGTCCTTCGGCGCAGGCGCGCGCCACCGAATGGGTGAGGGCCGCGGCAGTCAGGGCATGCACGAAGGCCGTCTCCTTGTAGAGTTTCTTGAAGATGTTGCGCTTGCCGCGCGTCTCAATCGAGCAGTTCCAGCGATCGTAGCGAAATTGATCCTCACAGTGTGTGGTGGCCAGGCGACGGGCCTCGGCCAAGGTGCCCGGCAGTCCGTTCTCCTTGCGGCATTGATGGTTCTGGCGGCGAGTGGCGGGCATGTATTTGCAGGGACCACCCACCTGGCCCTGAGACGTGAAAACGGCCATAACAGTGTGTTCGGAGAGAAAGTGTTCGCTGTAAATAAATGGGGGAAAAATGTTGAATTATTTTTTATTTCTATTGAATATAATTTTTAATAAATGTTGCATTTGAATGAGCATTGTGTTGCTAAACATAGGTTCAAGTCTTTGCTAAAGGTGTTTAAAGACGTGGCTGTGGTGAATTTCTATTCCCATTAGCCATTCTATTTGAACGCTATCTTTTGTTGCACTAAAACACTAAACACTATTTTCAATCTTTAAAATTTTTGGTCAGCCTGAAGTCGTCAACATTGCAATATAAGTAGTATTTATTTAGAGAAAAATAACATTTCAAGCACATGTTGCTTTTAAAGTGTGTTCTTACACAAAGGGTTAAGTATTTGCTAAAGGGATTGTGGTGAATTGGTATTCACCTTTGTATGGAGAAGCAGAACAAAACTCCACCTAGCTGTGCAGTTTTGCATATTAGCCATTTTGTAGCAACCAGCTTTCATTGGAATTCACGAGGCGCGCAGAATTTGAATTCAAACAACGTTATTACGTGTTTTGGTTGTTTGTTGATTTACAGTAAGTTGAATTCCATATAAATAAACATTACACTTAAATATATATTTGGATTATCTAATTATATTAAATTTCTAGTATCTATGTATAAGAACATTTCACTTTTTATTGTAATTATACTTTTGTTTACGCCGTTATCATCATATTGCAAGAAGGTTCTGGTAGTGCCTATAAAGCAGAACTTTTAAGAGAAATGATGCCTGAGGAAACGCCTTTTAAAAATAGATACAAGTATGAATAGTAGTATCCTGCGAATACAGGGTATAAAAGTAGTTGTGCAAGGAATTGCAGCAATCATTATCAACGACCCAACTAGCTCATAATTCGAGGATACCGAAAATCTCAACTGATCTCTTAATCCCATCTTTCGCGTTAACAATTAACAAGTTCGAATTAGTTGGGATCGACTTACGAAAGGGAATGTTTTACTAACTTGGAAGCTCTGACTCAAGAAAGAATTTCAAAAAAATCTAAAAAAAAAACTAAAACAAAATTATTCAAATAATATATAATATATATATATATATATATATATAATATATAACTCATAGCAAAAAGAATAATAAAAAAATCAAAAAATATCATTCAAATAATAATGTCCAAACTCTGTTTATAATTTTACTTTTTTTATGAAATCATAGCAAAAAGAAGGGTGTGTGTGTTATTAAATGTATAATTGTTGTTTTATAGACGAAGAAGGAAATTAAAACACTAAACAAATGATTTAAGAGTGCCACAGAGAGTTTCTTGACAAAATAAAAACAAACAAACAAACAAACAACAAAAATCTGACACACCTACACACTCAGGTCCACTTGTCGGCTTCACGTATTAGCTTGCAACACAACGGTGTTTATCGTTTACCGTTAGAGAGAGAGAGAGAGAAAGAGAGAGAGAGGGAGAGGGAGAGGGAGAGAGAGACCCTATTAGAAGTTGCCACACTGGCTTGTCAATTACAGGGAATTGCCCGAATTTAGACAGAAATTTGTACACTCCCTAGTTGCTGGGCTGTTGGGTATTCTCTATTTATTTTCGCTTATTAGTTGCTGTAAAGAGACCGACCGACCGCTTCCTGCCCGACATCGGCCGTATATGGCGCAGCTAGTCTGAATTTTTGTTGCTGTTGCTGCTGTTGTTGTTGTTGCAGGAAATCTTAAATTCTCATAAAACTTGAGTGCATCGTAAATTGGCGTATGAGTAATGCGCACACAAACACACTCACACACACACACACACACACATATGTATATTTCACTATGTATGGCCATTTCCGTCTCCGCCCTGTATCTGATTTTGTGTGAATCTGAATCCGTATCTCCATCAGCGCTAATTCTCAGCTCATCTGTAGGTTTTTGATTTAAAATTGTTGCCGCTTTGCCACATTTGTTAATCATTTTTATGAGCGCCACAAATTCATGCAAATGTTCTCTACATGTTTCGCTTGTTATTGTTATTGTTGTTGCTGTTGTTTTTTGTGGGAAGAGTATGAAAAAGAAAAATCACACGCTCGCCTCTAATGTGAAATTAATTTGCCACATTTTTGCAATTACTTAATTAATTGAATGCCCAAATGTTTACAACTCAGCCTTTTTCAGTGTGTGTGTGTGTGTGTGTGTGTATCTGCGTTTTTCGTATAGCTGGTGAATTTTTATCTATTTAGCTCCTGCTGTTTTATTTCGTTATTTGACGCACTTTAGCGCTTGATTAAATGCGAAAAAGTTTCGCCAGAACCGCAGCGAATTGGGGAATCTGTCGGAGCGAGACATGAAAAGTAATTTGTGCTACAAATTATAAATCAGCCATTTTATAACATTAGAAGAAGGTCGTTAAACGACCTTGCAGCATTCAAATTTGTTTATTTTTAGAATAACACAACAATTTATTTATTTTATTTATTATTTTGTTAGAGAACAAAATATATTTAAAATGAATCCAAGTGTCTTCGGCTACAAATTGTTTGCTTGCTATTTGTCAATAGTGTTCGTATATTAGTTTCCGATTTGGAAAATGTTACAATTATTATAAAATTATCTTGTCTTTGAAATATATTTCAAGTTCTTCATCATTTTTTTTTTGGTTAAAATTTGGGTTGTTTTTCTGCAAATAGCGATTTGGGAAATTTCTAATTATAATAAAACTATCTTGTCTTTGAAATATAATTCAACTAGATCAGCATTTTTTGGCTAAAAATTGTGTTGAATTAAAATTTTTAATTTTACTGTTTCTGCAAATAGCGATTTGGCAAATTTCTTATTACAATAAAACTATCTTGTCTTTTAAATATATTTCAATTGGCTTAGCATTTTTTGGTTAAAAATTGTGTTGCATTAAAATTTTTATGGTTGTATATTTTTCCTGCAAATAGTTTTCATAAAACTTATCTACTATATATGGGGATGCTAATGGCGATCCACCGGATTAACAAAAATTGATTTATAACACCAGACCATTATCATTTAAAGAGCTGGCTGGATCTGAGCTAAAATCTCTATATACAAATCTCTATATATGTATATAAAAACGTTTGTCCTGATTAACTGACTGCCTGACTGATTGGCAATCACTCTAGGAATCAATCAGAACTGGGACACTGAAATTTGGAAACAAGTTTTCTTTCACGGTGAAAGTGAGCACTAAGAAGTGGTTTTCGGTTTTGGACAATTCCAACTCCAAAGGGGCGAAAACAGGCTCCAAAAATTGTATGAAAAATGTGAAATTTTCATTCGATTGGCTTCAAACTTGGTTTTTGTATTCTCTGAAAGAATCCAAAAAACACTGCATACTTGGTTTTTCACCATTTTTCCTGGGGCATACAAAATGGTATTTTTCCCATGGAAAAATTGGAACACAATCAACACCCCGCAGCCCAAACGGTAAGAGCTAGGAAGCTGAAATTTTGACACAAGTTGTCTTTTATGGTGGAGGTGATCACTAAGAAGGGGGGGTTTTTTTTTTTGTAAATTCTAGTTCCAAAGGAGGTAAAAAGAGCTCCAAAGTTTGTTTGAAAATACTGAATTTCTCCACCAATCAACTTCAAATTTGGTTTTTATAAACTATAAAAGAATATATAAGAAATTCATACTCAATTTCTTGTATGTGTTTGATAGGACTAATTTCTCGAGGTTTTGGCGGTGTACGCAATTGTTTATTCTTATAAAGGAGCCAATCTTTAAAGAGATACGTGGTGTGTTTCGGTAATTGGCCTGTTGAAACAAAAAAACATTTCGCCTCTAATCCCAGTTTTGACGCACTTTGTTCAAGATTTTCCTTCAAAATGTTTAAGAACAAATGCTTGTCCATTTTAGTGTCATTTTACATTTATTTTTTTCGTTTTATTTTACTCCAGATGAGGCTATTCATCCAATCACCATCATTCATTACCATATCATGCTTTACAGTTTGATTTATATTTTTTAAGTTTTTGGCTTCATTAGCCTTTCTCCACAATTGTTGTTCACCACCCAATTCACAAAATGTTGTATTTATATTCATCACTCCATACCATATTATTTCAAAGCTAAGCTGACTCATTTGCATATCTTTTTAGCATTTTATAGCCTCTAGAGGATGAACGGTATGATTATAGCTTTCGGAATGCTTCCTCCTGTACTTTGAGGGCTTATTTCTTGGGGTCTTCTTATACTTCACTTAATATTTGGCTTTTCTCTCTTGCGATTAGTTTTTTTTTGGAGGGCTAGAGCGAGACTTCACTGTACAATTTCCAGAGTTTCAATATAAAATTATTATTGTTTGAGCACTCAATGGAGGCCTACAAATTATTTTGCCAACAGCATTAATAATTTTTTAAGGATTATTTGACGGGTTTTAAGCGAAATTTCTCAACCATGAATAATGACTATTCCTTGACAAATTTGCAACAGCAATGATATTACAAATTATATATTAATTGCAATTAATAACAATTATTTTTATTGTAAATATATATATATATTTTTTTTGTTATCTTCTAAGAGTGCGTATTTAAGACTTGCGCACGCTCGTCTCTTTTGTTATTTTATTCTTGCAATAAAGAGCGGATTTACAGCTATGATTTTTGATTGATTGCCTTCACTTTTACTTTCGTCGAGAGAGCATTCTGCTTGCAGCTGCAATGCAAGGCTTAGTTTTTCTCGACCTGTTGAGCGCGTCGCGCCGTTTTTGTTTGGAGTTGCCGAAAACTCGGAGAAAATGTTTAATTAATAGTTTAAATATTTGCAAAAATGATGCAAAATCATGTGTACATATTAAGTTGTGTGTGAATGTATTTATTAATGCGAAAATGCCGCGCGATTAATGTGCTGCCTACATACATACATACATACTTATGTATGTATGTGTGTGTTCGTGATTTCAAATAAATTGCGCAGTGTCAGTCAATTTTTGTTTTTATTTTTTTCAAGTGTTTGTAAATGTGATTTAATTAAGTAAAGGTGTCCAATTTGAAAATAATGCTCAATTAAAGCGATCGCA